TGAACATATTGGGTACACTGCCACTGTTCCGGGTTGAACAGTGCATTAGTCGTACTGCAGTATCACGATAGAAGAGAAGCAGTACTTCCAGCGCTTCTCATGAGTCCAGGAAGTTCTATGATCCTTCCCTTTGTTGGTATTCTCCTTGGAAAAATATAACCGATAAAAAAACATGACAGATAAAAGAAAAAACATAACCGATAAAAAAAAACCCAAGGGTTTATAAAGATGGGGAAGGGCAAAGCAGGCTTTGCTTTTCTCATCTGTTTGCCCTTGTCGTCTGGGGTTCCTAGTTTAGTTGTTTATATGCCATCAGGCTGGCGTTTTTAGACTGGTTGGGGCATGTTTTATACTGAAAGACCTTTCTTATATAGGAAAAGCTTTTCGCATCAAGACATGAAGTATAGCACTATACGCTGGCGCACTGCGCAACACTGAACAAAAATTCAATCATACGACTGATGCATCCATCTCCATTTTGTCATCTTCAACGAAGCCCTCTACCCTTCCCACGGCCCTCTTACTTCTTGTTGCATGACTACATTGTTCATTCTTGGTGCATGTATCGTCTTATTCACCCTCTTCTGTCAACTCGTGCGGAGCGAGTCCCACAACCTGGGGAGCTACTTCTCATTAGCTTAATATCATTTCGTTAGAGATAGAAACCAACTTACCAACATAAGAAGGTTCGACAACTTTTTTACCAGTGATCCTCTTAATATCTTCAAAGACGACGTCCATAGGAAGAAACATTCCTTGTCCAGTACCAGTCACTCCGAAGAGTAATCCAAGCTGAGTGCCTGATCCTTCGTGCAATACTATACTGCCATTGTCACCAGACTCAGCGAAGTCCTTCCTCTCGTCCCTGCTAACCACGCCAAAACACGCTCCCACGTTCTTCGCACCGAAGCCATAAGCGCCCGAGATCTCATCGTCTGCATCAGGGTTGATGATGATCATACAAGCGTTTATGGTGCCGGCTGTCCAGCAGCTCGTGCGCCCGTATTTGGCAACATGGACTTCTTCTTTGTTGACATTGAAGGTTGACCATTTCCTGCACCGCTGCTTTGGGACAAGTTTCGTCTTGGTAGAGTAAACATCAGGCAGACGGTTGGTAACGTCGCGTTTTTTCGTGTTGTCCATACGAATTAACGCCCAGTCGAGTGGGAAGACTAACGCTGGCTGCGATGCCTTCATTTTGTCTTTAGATCGATCGGTGTCAAGATCTGCTGCGTACTTGTTGGCGTCGATAGTTCGGCGCCCTGAGCCTGCGTAGACGTGGCCGATACGCCGGTCGAAGCTTTCACATCTCTTGTACTCTTCATCCTTCTTTTTGTGCAACCTCTTGCATTCCACATCTCCATTAGCAGCGTAAGTATAGTAAAGTGTGATCTGTTCTTGCAGCATTTCGAGGTAGCCGTGATGGTCGAGCGTCGCTGGCGATACCATGGGTTGAGGTACTTTGGCCAGGGTCTTGTTATTAATACCCAGAGCCTTGTTGGTCGTGTTGGAGACGACTGCGTAAGGGTCAATTTGTATCTTATTAGTTGATAATGAGTTATTACCGTTGTCAAGTCGTACATCGCGGACGCCGTGCCAGCTCGTTATTCCGCATCGAATGCCGCCGGACAGGGTCACAGATCCACCCAAAGTACTGCAACCTCTGTCATCACCCGAAATTCCAAGAGAGGATCCCATATCGGCTATTTTGACGTAGGATGAGCCATCGACGCTGTCGGTCAAACTTTTCCGCCTCTTTGGCCCCAGCATCGTCATCCCACATAGTATTTCGATGCCAAAACTTGGAGCTCTCTTCGCAATCTCAGCCATCATCGAAGGTACCACAATGTTGAACCATTTTGGATCGCGCGCAGTGGGTGTGGTGATGACAATTGTTGGTGAACACTCCTGGCGATCGTCGATCAATCCTCGATGAAGAATCTCCACTGAGAGCCATTCATGCTTGCTCAGCAAAGACATGACATCTGGAGATATGGCTTCCCATTGCCGGCCTATGTTGTACTCATCATGGCGGGTAGGGAAAGACATCATGCCGGAGGAGTGCCTTGCTCGATAGTCTATGCACTCAATTTGGACATCCTCCGTCCAGGAATTATCGCGGAAGCCAGCTCTAATCCTGATGATCGCATCTTCGATATCATGATGAGCGTGCTTCAGCATGTCGACCCGTATCAATAGCGTCAAATGCGCTATATTGTCGTTCTCCTCAGTAGCATCCCGAGGAATGCGGAATGCAAAGTAGAACGCGGTAGTCCCACGTAGCAAGCCATGTGCTATGAGAATATCTTGCACATCATGTAGTATCTGACATGAGTCTGGTATCATCCATCTAGCATCTGTCTCGGTGTCCATCGGCAGAGGTGCAAGTGTCGGCCAGCCGATACGATGTGGAACGTGTCCGGGGTCCATCTCTTTGCGAATCTCTTCGTCGGTACGAGATGTATAGCGCCTGCGTTGAGACATTGTGGGAAGTAGACGGTGAGTTAATCTAGTTCTTGAGAGATGGTCGCGGCCTGTGTATGCAGTAAACTGCTTTTGCCTCGTACGAAGAAGAAGTTCGACAGGCTGGCTGGAGTCTACGTTAATATTTAACTGTGCGATGATAAGATCTTAAAGGCGATGTAGCTGCCTAGGCTTTCTGTGAAGATACACCCTGTGAGACGCTGTTACTTGATATTCTCCATATAGGGTGTTGGGCGTAGTGGCATCCATGGTACTGCGATGACACAGAGCGAGACGAGCCACTCATGACTCCCGAAATACATAACCACCACATACGCAAAGGTGCTCCTCATCAAATGAGAGAGATCGCAATCCTCAGACTCTGGCGTAACGGTAGAAGCTGTGGAAGAGAAATTTGGCCCAAGCCAGTGTGTACCATGGTTACACAACCTGCGATGTCGTATCGATCATTCAGATGTTTTGAACTCGAATAAAGTACTGGACCGAGGATTCAGTGCGATCCATTACATCATGAACCGACTGTGGAATGTATCAACCTCATAGAGACCTGTCACCCTTCACGAGTATCTGGTCAGAGACCAACCACGACAAGGCTCCCAGACTTCCCACATGGTATCGAGACTGCTAACCTCCCTTCCCGCATCGCGTCTTTATTCTCGATATGTCGGTCATCTACTCATCAGTTTCCTGGCCCATATCCACTAGATAGCGGATAGCTACTTCCAAATCTAGCCTCGAATCGAAGGTCACGGCCGTATCGTAGGTATCCGGCATAGTACCAATCGACCGCACCGGGACCACGCAGGCGTTTTACACCTCTGCGTCTGCCGCGATAATTCCCCGGTCCCATCGGCTGGTAGCCCAAGTCTACATCAAACTAAGAGAGAGAAAATTAGCATTGTGTCACTGAATAGTTCTAGCCTCGTGAAGAGACGAGAAACGTGTCGATAGTCGCAGGCCTGCAGCATCATTATGTAGTAACAGCTCAGTAATATTTTGGGGGTATCTAGTAGGTAAATGGGAGGATAGATGTTCAATGGCCAAGTCGGATAATAATGGTGGTGCGAGAAGCTCTTTCGCGCAACAGCCAGTGTTATACGCGCGAAATCCACTTGCTCAACTCACTGATGGCTCGTCAGCCTGGTCGTCGGACTCGTCGGATATCTCGATGAGGTCTTCGGCGTCGCGCCTAGGCCTCTTCTTGCTGGCTTTGCCGCCGGAGCCGACGGCGTCGAGGAACTCGTTGTTGTCGATCTTGGACTGGAGTTTGGGTGCGGATGCAACATCTGCGAGGAAGAGGCGGTCGTTGTACGCATCGAAGGCTCGCTCGTCCTACAGCATGATTAGCTCGTCACCAGCGAGATGGAGCGCAAGACGGAAGGACGTACGTTCTCGTCGTAGTAGTCGAGCCTCAGCCACTGCTCTTGGTTGGTCGACTTCATGAAGGCCTGAGTCAGCTCTGCGGCAGTGTCACCACCCGTCTTCTTGACTTGGGCGAGGAAGGCCTTTGGTTCGGCGACCTTGGCGCCTTCCTGCGACTCCTTCTCGCGGCGGCGCTGGACAGCTTCTAGCTGGGCGGAGGCGTCGATCTGGTGGAACTGAGTTCGGAGCTGGACGAGGCCGTTGCAGCGGGTGAGGTGGAGCTCGTCTGCGCCGCGTCAGTCTTGAAGCGAGGGTTGTTGTCGCGCGCTACTTACTATCGCGGAAGGTGCCGAGCATGTAGCTGGTGCCCTTGCCGTCGTCGTGCATGATCTGGCCACCGAATGTCTGCGTGTTGAGGACGTGGCCCTTCTCGTTGGCGTCCTCGAAGTGGGTGACATACTCCTCAAAGTTGTCGTCGTCCTCGGTCGCAATGGGCGCTGCGGGGGCTCCTCCCTCACCGGCGGCGCCAGGGCGGTTGGTGCTGCGCGGCATAGTGCGCTCGAAGCCGGAGGCGATACCGAAGGCCTTCTGGCCAAAGCCCTTGGTCTTGCGCATGGCCTCGCCCCAGCGCACACCGGCGACGCGGTTGTAGTTGCGGTGGATGTTGACGGGCACGTCGACCTCAATGAAGCCCGACTCTTTCTTGAGGCGCAGCTGCGAGGGCTGGCTCTCGGTGGCCTTGGTGAAGGGCTGGTCGGGCGGGCGGTTCAGGTACTGCAGCACGTACAGCTGCTGCTCGGCCATCTCGGGGGTGATGTAGACGTCGTACTCGGCCACGACGGGGTCCTCGTCTTCGATATCCATGGCCGCTGAGTGGTCCATTGTGTTAGCGGAGTCTGCTTGGGTGTTGTGGAGAGCGAGGGCTGGACGTACAGGCCATTTTAAGTGGGCGCGTCGGGGCTGCAAGCAAAACGAGTCGCGGTCACCCAAAGTTCCAAAAGTTCCAAAAGTCACGGCCGCCCCGCAACGCGAAGTCGCGTGGAGCCGCGGCCCGTGCAGCTCAATGACGGAATGCATCCGATGTCTCCAGCCCGCCAACCACGATAGTTCTGTTCTGTACTTTGAGCTATCCACAAGCTCTAACAGATATCGCCATGGCTTACATTGCACCTATCCACCGGCCAAGCAGCGTCCGGCATGCGCTCAAGCTCAACTTCCTCGCCCCAGAGGAGGATTGCCTCGTAGTCGCGTAAGCAGTCCGCGGGTACATGCATCACTATCTATCCAATGCTAATATGATTGCAGCAAATCCAACAGACTCGAATTCTATACGCAGACTTCCGATGGATTGGCCCTCCAACACTCCAAAGCCATCTATGGCAAGGTCACTATGCTTCAGAAGCTCCGCCCAGCCCTATCACCGACCGACCACCTCTTCGTCGGAACCGATCGATACATGTACTTCACCCTCTCATGGAACCCCGAGAAGAAGCAATTACAGACGGAGAAATCCTTTGCGAGCGTGGCCGACAATGCTGCAAGAGAGTCGCAAACGGGCGAGAGATGTCACATCGATCCAACGGGGCGATTCATGACTGTCGAGGTCTATGAGGGCATTGTCACCGTCATACCGCTAGTCCAAAGGGGAAAGAAGAGGAAGCAAGAGGCTGATATCGCCCACTTGGGAGACCCTCAACCAGTCAGACTACCTGAGATGTTCGTCCGCTCGTCTGCCTTCTTGCGCCCACGGTCGTTCGACGACAAGCCCAAGATGGCGCTACTGTACGAAGACACACACTCCCAAGTCAAGCTGAAGTTACGGGAACTCACCTACGCCGGCGAAGAGGTGGACCTACAAGAAGGCGAGACCTGCAAGACCGAACTGGAGCTTGGCTCGAGCCACCTGATACCCGTCGAGGAGCCTTCTCACGGCCTGGTAGTCATCGGCGAAACATCTATCGGATACTACGACGACGAAAGTGGGGAACTCCAAACCGAGCCACTGGACGAGGCGACGATCTTTGTGGCTTGGGAGCGCATTGACGCTCAGCGATTCGTGCTCGCCGATGACTACGGTCGCCTATACATGTTCATGTTGGTCTTGAGCAGCCAAGGCAAGGTCCAATCATGGAAGCTTGATGTGATCGGGGAGACATCTCGCGCATCTACGCTGGTATATCTCGATGCTGGGTACGTCTTTGTGGGATCGCATCAGGGCGACTCGCAAGTCATCAAGATTGCGGAAAAGTCGATGGAGGTCGTCCAGACATTTTCCAACATCGCGCCTATCCTCGACTTTACCATCATGGATATGGGTAACAGATCTGGCGAAGGACAAAGCAATGAATACTCGTCGGGTCAGGCGCGAATAGTAACCGGTAGTGGCGCCTATCAAGATGGAAGTCTTCGTAGCGTTAGAAGCGGAGTCGGACTGGAGGATCTTGGTGTGTTGGGCGAGATGGAACAGATCTCCGATCTATTCAGTCTCAAATCCACTGCAGCTGCCCAGTATGAAGATACATTACTAGTCAGCTTCGTCAACGAGTCGCGCATCTTCCGATTCGACCCCCTAGGAGAGGTAGAAGAGGTGGACGAGTTTGCCTCGCTCGCTTTGGACGAGACAACGCTAGCCGCTGCGAACATCTCACAAGGCCGTGTCATCCAGGTAACCAACGGAAGAGCCCGGATCTGCGACCTGGACGGCGGAATGATAACGTCGGAATGGATGCCAATGGGTGGTCAGGCTATCACCGCTGCTTCAATTAACGACAGTCATGTTCTTGTCTCCTTAGGAGGCGTCACTATCGTTTCTCTGAGTATGACAGACGGTCTACAGGTTGTCAAAGAGAAGAAGTTCGGTTCCGAAAGCCAAGTGGCCTGCATTGCTCTTCCGTCAGTCTCAAGCTCGATATGCTTCATTGGCTTCTGGAGCAACTCCCAACTCGCCATATGCTCTCTCGATACCCTGGAAGCGGTCAAGACAGTTCAGATCTCCGAAGACTCGGTTCCCCGCTCATTGCTACTGACACAGATATTCCCGGAACAACCACCGTCCCTCTTTGCTGCATTAGCAGATGGCAATGTTGTCACATACGCCTATGATCCCTCAACACATGAGCTATCAGAAAGGAAGAGCATCGTTCTAGGCACGCGCGAAGCTAGTTTCCGTGCCCTGCCTCGCGGCAACGGCCTATTCAACGTCTTTGCAACATGCGAACACCCATCCTTGATCTACTCTTCAGAAGGTCGTCTTGTATACTCCGCTGTCACAGCAGAGAAAGCGACAACAGTCTGTCCTTTCGATTCGGAAGCGTACCCTGGCTCCGTAGCCATCGCAACCTCGGAAGACCTTCGCATCGCTCTCGTAGACACCGAACGGACAACGCATGTACAGACACTAAAGGTCGATGAGACGGTACGACGGATAGCATACTCACCTAGTCTGAAAGCTTTCGGTCTTGGCACTATCAAGAGGATACTCAAACATGGCGAGGAGATCATGCTAAGTCATTTCAAGCTCGTGGATGAGATCCAGTTCAAAGAGCTCGACACTTATGCGCTCAACGAAGAAGAACTGATCGAATGCGTCATGCGCTGCGAACTCCCAGACGGCTCAGGCGGGGTTGCAGAGCGCTTTGTCATCGGCACTGCATATCTAGACGATCAGAACGCGACTGCAGAGCGTGGCCGCATAATCATCCTAGAGGTGACGCCTGAGCGCGTACTCAAGCTCGTCACTGAAATCGCAGTCAAGGGCGGTTGCAGGTGTCTAGCCATCTGTGAAGGCAAAATCGTCGCAGCGCTCATCAAGACTATCGTGGTATACGATGTCGAATTCAAAACGCAGAGCTCTCCTGATCTGGTCAAGCTAGCTTCGTTCAGATGCTCGACTGCGCCAATCGATGTTACCGTCAACGGCACCATGATCGCCATCGCTGACCTGATGAAGTCACTCGCCGTCGTCGAGTACACAAAGGGCGAGGCGGGTCTACCAGACAAGCTTGTGGAGGTTGCGCGGCATTATCAGACGACTTGGGCTACAGCTGTGGCCGAGGTAGACACGAACACTTACCTCGAAAGCGACGCGGAAGGAAACCTGATGGTGTTGTACCGCGATCCTAACGGTGTCACAGACGATGACAAGAGGCGGTTGAATGTTAGCTCTGAAATGCTACTGGGAGAGATGGTGAATAGGATACGTCGAATTGATGTCATGACAACCTCGGACGCTGCAGTTATTCCTAAAGCGTTTGTCGGCACTGTACGTCTACCCGGTTACGTTTATCCCACACGAATACTAATATCCGTGCAGGTCGAGGGATCAATCTACCTCTTCGGTCTCATCTCAGCCGACTACCAAAACCTCCTCATGACGCTCCAATCCAATCTCGGTGCTCTCGTCGCCGCACCAGGAGACATGGACTTTTCCAAGTTCCGCGCGTTCAAGAACACTGTCAGGGAGGAAGAAGAGCCCATGCGTTTTGTTGATGGAGAACTGGTGGAGCGCTTTTTGGATGTAAGCGAGGAAGTACAAAGGAAGGCCATTGAGGGATTAGGTGTGGAGTTAGAGGAAGTCAAGGGATTGATTGAGGGGCTGAGACGATTACATTAATACAAGGGGGTGTACATAGCTAAGCTAGTAACATGAGTCGGAAATACTCATCGCACAAATGCAAGAACGGCAGAAACTAAGCCATGTGATAAGAAATCAATCGCAGCCTCAGTCCACCTCTTTTTAGTTATTACAAGTACTAGAAAGGAAAGAGAATGTCAAAATCCAAAACGCCTCCCATACCATGCCTTCGTAACAAACGCCGTGTTGAGCCGCTGTACATGCTCCATTCCCATTATCGCGCTTGAAGTTTTTCGCTTGCTAGATAAACGTACATTTCGTCGTACAAATCATCATTGCTCGTACCACTTTTGAACGCCTGAACGCCTATCATCCGTATAATCGACACAATCGTGCCTTGGTATCTGTAGTCGTTGTACAGCTCGCTGTGGGAATCTCAAGGTTCTTTAATCTTTTCCACCAGGACGGTTTCGTCTATAGGTGCCACTGGCTTCGCCACCAGGCTTCTGCTGTTGCTCCCGGTCCTGGTCGTCGTCATGGTCTTGCTCGTAATCCTGGTTCTGCTGGTCCTCGCGCGCCCGATGGTTATACCTCTTACGGTTATTTTTCCTGGGCTTCCTCCTGAACCCGGTGTTGGGGTCCGCACCGTTTCCAGTCTGATGGTGCTCCCCGTGATGGTTCTGGTAGGGCATCCTACCGGCCCGTACGCCGTTGACCTCGCGGTGCTGGTTTGTGAACGGCTCGGGCGTGCCTGCGGTGTACTCGATGGAGGAGAACTGTTCGTGGTTCCACATAGGGCCTTGGGGCTGCACGTAGTTCATGGGTGGAGTGGCGTGGAAGTCGAAGGGGTTGTGGACCTGGTTGTAGTAGTGGGTGTAGCCATCGTATAGGGGGTATGGCTGATACCCGTAGAAACCAGGGCTACAGTATGGCAGTCCCTGTGGATGTTGCGGGAGCTGATACTGGGGATGAGCGTTGAAGCCTTGCTGAGGCGGCGTCGCAGGGGAAGAGACGCGCTCGCTCGACGCAGGGCTGGGATGCGCAAGTTGACCGGGAACAAATTCAGCGGCCGTAGGCCTCAGAATGGCGGGAACTGGGCTGTCCGACATTTTAGGGAGAAAGGTCGGTGTAAAAAGACTGTGGAGTTGGGGCTGCTTGGGGAGTGTTAAGTCGGGAGGGAAAGGGTGCGCCGGAATTTATATAGAGAGAGTGGGCAGCAAGCGAACCAGAAAGTGAAATACTTTTTGGCCCACAGATTGCGCACTTCAGGTGGGAAGTGAAAAGTGAAAAGGTGTGCCTCCCGGCGCGAGTAAATGTACTGTGCCGGCTCAAGCGGCGATGGACCAAGATTGTGCTGCGTTTGTTCGTGAAAGCACTGGACCCTGTTAGCAAGCTAATCGCACCCTTGCTGGGCGGCCTGGTGAGGGATTTTCAGCGATGTGTCGGTGACGAGAAAATGAGGTGTAGGAGCTCATGCGCATGCGCGGTACCGCGGTATTGGTTGTCGTCACCCAGTAGGAGGGACCCGGATTGTACAGTCGCAGCAATGGATTGGTGTCCTGTCTATTTCAATACGCCGTCTTCGTCACTGCTATCTCCTCCTGTGTTCTTCACGCTGTTGAGTTCGACTGTGTCATCGCCTTCGTCTTCGTCGTCTCTAAAGCCGTCCGCATTCGCGTCGCCCTCGCGGTCGAGAAGTGGGGCCTCTCCCGTGGTAGCTACCACACTCTTCTTCTCCGTCTCCTCCCTCATTCCGATGATCACACTGCCAGCTACCAGCATGGCTGCCCCAAGCCACCATAACCCCGGTAGGTTCTCGCTGAAGATAATGAAGCTAAGGACGGCGGTGACGATGAAATTCGCAGACGTGTTTATGATGCTGACGCGTACGGTCGAGGAAGCGAGGGTAAGGGCACGCGTGAAGAGCCCCCACATGATCGCGTTGAAGAGGAGGTTCATACCGAAGAAGAGCTGCGCGTTGCGTTAGTTGTGTGCGGGTAATAGAAGGCATGACAGGTTGGGACGACGCACCCCTCGTATCGCATATTCAACAATCTTGTTTGACGCACTCAGCCCGAATGCCAGGGCTATGGAGCTCGACCAGGAGGCAGTGAGCTCTGTGGTTGTGCTACATCATCGTCAGTATGCAGCGTGGGCTAGGGCGACGCGGCGGTATCTTACAGCTTTGCGAAGACGCCATTGAAAGCTGCACATGCGCCACTGGAGATGGCAAGCATCAGCCATGCTGATTTGGTTTGCGGGAGAGACATAATCGCGGCCGTACTGGGGTGCTGCGGGGAATGAGGTCGATGTTCACGGATGCAAGTTGATGATCTGCAAGGTACGACCGGGTGCACTTCCGCGCTTAGTCAATATGGGGTAGTAGTACATGCAGGTCGCATCTTGACGCAATATATGAGGCAGGTGCTCTGTAGTGCGCATACTACTGGGAGTCATAGTCTACTGCCCAGCTCTTCTATCGGCTACCAGTCAAGGTGAGTTCACTAGAATTGCACTCCCACCTGAAGTCAATCATCTGAGTGTAGCAGAAAGGGTACGATAGCCCAGATATGCAAAAGATCATAATTGTTTCAATTTATCAGCGTTAAACCAACGCGAATGACGCATTCAGTCCCAAACTCCTATTCATGCCAGAGGTATCGTGAAAGCCTTCCAAGGCCGTTTTAGCCGTAACGCCGAAAGCATATGATGACACAGGTCTGTAGTGAGACAGCTGCTCTAGCCGGTAGATCGCATCTTGCGCAATCGCATTTGTTTGAACGCGATTGTCTCCTTCCTGCCGTGTTGCAGTGCACCTGCCGCCCCTTGAGCCGCCTAAGCCTCACCAGGACGCTTCGCGTTACAGGAAACGATCTTGACGCGGTCGGCATGTACTTGATGGGTGTTGTCCAGCTTGAAGTTGATATCCTTGATAATAAAGGTCCATACGTCGTCGCAGAAGCGGTAGGTATCGAGATGTCCCTACGGAGTTTCAAGTCAGCACACGATGCTTCTCACTGGTCGCCCGTGCGCAACTGACCTTGAATGTCAAGCGCGACTTGACCTTCTCCGAGAGCACATCGGCGACGGCCTTGTCAAAGTTGAGAAGGATCTTCATGGCGAGCTGGGGTTCTATCCGGCGCTCGGTGATGAGGTTGTCCAGGGTGTCCGTGAGAGAGCCGCCCAGGCTGTCCTCTGTTAGCCAGCGCTCCTTGCTACGCTTCCCCAGAGTGGCATGTAGTACCTGCTTCGGCGGTAGAGCTCGTAGTACTTGGTGTTGTCGGTGGCCATGGTGCTGATAGTTGCGACGAGCTGGTGGTTTGGTGTCGGTGACGCCTGAGCGGGAAGAGTGATGGGGGCGGCGCGCCGAGGTGGTGGTTACTAAGCCGTTCGATGCTAGCGCGACGCGGCTTGTTCCGCCTGCATCATCGCCAGCTTCGCGGCGAGTCCATCACGACGAAGCTCCAGCCGCCTCTTTCACCATCCATCTCCGCCTCCACGACCACTAAACCCAACATGTCTCTTACTTATGGAACGGGCGGTGCGACCGCCGCCCTCGGTGTGGTGGGCCTGTGTATGTACCGCGCGCAGGGGCGCAGGCGATAGCTAACGACCTCCAGATATGCTCTTCAACAACGAAGGCGAAGCTTTCAACGTACGCACGCGTTCCTACCAACCCGATACGGACATGGCTGATTACATACCAGGTCGGAGCTTTCCTCGAAAGCATATCGCCATACACATTTGCTAGTGTTGGAATTGCGCTATGCATCGGTCTCTCTGTCGTAGGCTCGGCATGGTACGTCTAGCTGTCGGGAACATACACGCATCGCATCTGACAATCGCAAAGGGGCATCTGGACAACCGGTGTGTCCATCGTTGGTGGAGGTGTTAAGGCGCCACGGATACGAACCAAGAACTTGATCTCCATCATCTTCTGCGAAGTCGTCGCCATTTACGGTGTCATCATGGCCATCATCTTCTCCTCCAAGATGAACCAGCTCTCGGACCCTGAGCTGTTGTACTCTGGATCCAACTACTTCACTGGATACGCGCTGTTCTGGGCTGGAATAACCGTGGGCATGTGCAACCTGATCTGCGGTGTATGCGTGGGCATCAACGGAAGTAGCGCAGCCCTGGCCGATGCTGCGGACCCTGCAATGCAAGTAGCTGTCTTTCCTGGGTATCTATTTCGATGCTAACTTCGTTGTAGGTTCGTCAAGATCCTTACCATTGAGATTTTCGCTGCCATTCTCGGACTGTTCGGTCTCATTATTGGATTGCTCATGCAGAGCAACGCCAAGGACTTCCAGTGATCGCAATGTTCTCGCTATATCGCCTCAGGGCACAATTATATGAACTATATCGAACCTCGATCCCGCCTAGAAGGACGCCAAGGAGGAGTGTTTTCGAGTGCCAGCTTGTGGAGCTGGTGAAGAGGTTACTGAAGGTCATTTGCAGAGGTTGTACAATGTACATAGGAAGGGCGCTTGTATAATGCATGTAATATGAGCGAGCATCGGCGTTAAATACCATTTATCAATTACTGTTTCCAATGTTCTTGGATAATTCTCTTGACTGAATTGGTGAATCTGATCGACTCGGCGTGTAAGCAATGGCCCGTGCACGATGTCCACAGGGTGGGATGTCCGCTCTACTCCGCTTCGACTCAACATCGACAACATTAAACATGGCCACCACAGGTTCAAAGTTAAAGGCTGCGATCTTGGTAGTGTCTGAGACTGCTTCCGAAGACTCGTCAACCGATAAATGCATACCAGTCCTCAAGAAGGTCTTCGGAGATCTCGGAAATGACCAATGGGACGTTAGCGAAACCGAGATAGTACCCGACAACGCTCTCGTCATCCAGAAGACTATCAAAAGTTGGACTGACGGCCCTGAGCCAATCAATCTGATCGTTACAAGCGGAGGTACTGGTTTCGCAACTAAGGATGTCACTCCGGAGGTGCGCGCTCTTATCCTCGAAAAGGCCTAAGACACGCAGCTAATAGAAACAAGGCAGTTACGCCGCTAATTGATAGACATGCTCCTGGTCTTATGTAGGTGGTTTCTCTCGATACCGTATGCGAAGGCTCACACACAACCAGACATGGCATGCTCACAACTTCCTACGCCGTCACGCCATGTAAGTCTTCGAACACCAAACTGATCGTCCAGGCTAACGTTTGATCAGTTGCACTCATGGCGAGACCTGTTGCTGGAGTCAGAAAAAAGACTTTGATATTGACTCTGCCTGGATCACCGAAAGGCGCCAAAGAGAACCTCGAGGCAGTTCTAAAGTTACTACCACATGCGTGCATCCAAGCCGCCGGTGCAGAGTCGAGACCGCTGCACGTCGGTGGTGTAGAGAAGCTCGAAAAGGACGCGGGTGTTTCTTCGGGTGGCGCTACTTCAGGTACGTGATGTGCCATTCACCCCAGTAACATTGCAACTTACAATGACAGGAACTGGAAGTGGGCATCACCACCATCACCATCATGGGCATTCGCATGGTCACGGCGGCCACGCAGGGCCCAAAGCTCACACGAACCCAGAAGAGCGTCCCCAGTCCAATGATCCTTCCGCAGGGCCAACTCGCAGATATCGATCATCGCCCTACCCTATGTTGGCTGTTGAAGACGCGCTCAAGCTAATCTCGGAGCAAACCCCAGCTGCTGCAGTACAGAAGGTGCCAGTAGACATGAGACTTAGTGGTTCGGTCCTTGCCGAGGATGTCAAAGCCACTGAGTCTGTCCCAGCCTTCCGAGCTAGCATTGTCGACGGATACGCTGTCAAGATTCCAGCGACTGGCAAGTTTGAGAAAGGAACTTACCCTGTCTCGATCATATCTCATGCACAGCCTGGCGAAGTGAAGGAGCTGAAGGAAGGAGAAATTGCCAGGATTACGACTGGCGCCCCGCTTCCTCCTGGTGCTGACGCTGTGGTCATGGTTGAGGATACAGTATTGAAGAGCCTGACCGATGATGGCAAAGAAGAGAAAGAGATTGAGATACTGACTGATGAGATCAAGCCGAACGAAAACGTACGAGAAGTTGGCAGCGATGTCAAAGAGGGTGAGATCATCCTAAAGAAAGGCGAAGGTGTCACAGTCGTGGGTGGCGAGTTTGGTCTCCTTGCGTCTGTAGGTACGACAGAGGTGTCTATCTACAAGAAGCCTGTCGTGGGAGTCCTGAGCACAGGAGACGAAATTATCCCACACAACAGAGAGGGCCCGCTGCGACTCGGAGAAGTGCGCGATACCAATCGTCCCACTCTCATCACTGCCGCACGAAGCCATAGGTTCGAAGTCATCGATCTGGGTATCGTCTCAGATAAGTAAGTGAAGTTGGAAAAGAACCTCTGATTCATCTGTCGCTGACCAAATCCAGACCTGGTACCCTTGAGCAGAGTCTCCGTGACGCGATGCGCAAGTGCGACGTTATCATAACCTCCGGTGGCGTCTCAATGGGCGAACTCGACTTACTCAAACCAACCATCGAGCGCTCTCTCGGCGGCACGATCCACTTCGGCCGTGTCAACATGAAGCCAGGTAAACCCACCACGTTCGCCACTGTGCCCGTCAAGGACAATGATGGAAGCCATGTCACCAAGTCGATTTTCTCGCTTCCTGGCAATCCAGCTTCAGCCGTCGTGTGTTTCCATCTCTTCGTTCTGCCTGCATTGCATCAGCAAGCTGGGATAAAGCCACTCGGACTACCAAGGATCAGAGTTATACTGGATGAAGATGTGAGGATGGATAAGGGTCGTCCAGAGTATCATCGTGCGCTTGTCGTGACGAAAGAGGATGGGTTACTATACGCCAGCTCAACAGGCGGGCAGAGGAGTAGCCGCATCGGCAGCTTCAGAGGTGCGAATGCGCTGCTTTGTATGCCACAAGGCGAAGGTAGCTTGAAGAAGGGAGAGAAGGTCGAGGCACTGCTCATGGGGAAGTTGGGTGAAGTTGAGCGATGATAGACATGTTTGTCGCAATATTGTAGGATGAAAATGCACGTGCATTATATCTATTACATCTCAGAATGTGTTCCACATCAACCATCTAAGTGTTGTTCCCTTCCCAACCGTCGTCGCTACATAACCGAATATCTAAGCCGAGACAAAGGAAAGAGAGTCCTGAAGGGTATTCGCAACTGCCGAAATGAACAAAGGAAATTGGGCTAGAACCCAAGGATCGGTACCAGGCGTGAGCTCAACATTACCCTGTCCCATCATCACCGTGCCTGCCTGTACCCGCAAAAACACCGACGCTAAAGTGGAAAGACGATACGAAAGACTTTTTTTTTGAGTTTGTGTGTGTGTGTGACTCCTCATGCGGGACCGTGGCTGGACTTGGGCTTCAAGTCTTCCATCATGACACTGCCTCTGCAGGATCCGGCGCTCGACGCCAGTGCCTTGCGGTACGCGTTGGTTTGCGAAAACTGCTCCTCGTAGTGCTCCTTTAGCTTGCGCTGTCTCTTCTCCCTCTTGTACATCCAGAATATAGTGGAAGCCAGGCCTGCGATGATCATGGTGAAGACAGCTGTGAGAACACCGCCGACTATTGCCGTTTCCTTCTTTTCTTTTGAGCAAGTATTGGGAGGTGGGGCAGTGGTTGCGGCAGCCGGGCTCGGGGTTTGGAGTTGGAGGGTTGCGCTGAAGGTGGTTGTGATATGGGGTGCGGCCTGGTTGTTGCAGCAGCTCTTCGTGTCGTCGGCGCCGCGGCAGCAGTATGTTCCCGAGTCGCATGTTTGTAGTTGCCATGCTTTTACTGGCTTGAGACCAAGGAAGTCGTTGGAAACTGAAGTGAGTTAGTTGAGGAACATAAGATGAGTCAAATGTTTGTAAACTTACCACCAGGGCACAAGTCTTGTTGGCATGCTGCATCTTTTCCTTCCTTGTCTGTACATCCTCGCGAGAAGATCATACCGATCGACTCGTTTGTTGTTCCCATACACAGCCCATTACTCATGCAGATGTCGGTGGACGCGCAGCATCCGCTGTGATTGGCGCTAGGGTTGCATGGCGTGTATGTTTTGTCGAGTGCTGTACCGTCAACGGCATAACATTGCTGACTCGTAGCAACTGCGATCAAGGTCGCGAAGACCGTAAGGAGGGACCGACTCGACACCATATTAGACAAAAGACAGTATAAAACAAGTAAAGGAATGACTGGTTGCAAAAGCAATTGATCGCGATGAACTGAAGATATGTGATGAGCGAACTGGATGTGTGGAGAACCTAAGGATGTTTTAGAGCATTAATGTATCCCATCTGCTGTCGACAGGACATGCAGGTCCATATTTAGTCTCTAGCCCTACATTCGCAATGTTATGCGGCGAAGCCCTGTACAACCTTCTTCAGCTGGCAAAGCCGCTGGTTACAGGGTAGACCCCGCCGACATCTGAAACTGGACAATCAAACCTGGTCTTCGAAAGACCCATGGACCCGTATACGGAGGCATGGGTGACGCAGCTAACAAGCAGTTCGAGGCAAGTGTAACAGCCTCGACGTTGGAAGCAGTGGTACAAAGACGACAAAGTCTATTTCGTCAAGGCCCGACGGCGCTTCCTCCTTCACTTGCTTCAAGGGATGCGCGCTTTCAGACCCACGTACGCGAAGATGGCGCTTGCTGATGCGCGCCTCGCATTTGCTTTGTCACTTGACAACGGGTCGTTCAGTAATGCTTTTGCTTGCGTTTAGCCGCATGAGGTAGGTAGTGAAAGAGGACGGGAGGCTCGTAGCAAATGAAGAGTCGAGGCGATGATGCGCCAGGTGTGGTGGAAGGTTTGAGATGCGAGGCGGAGTAGGCCACGGCTAGCATCTGATTGGTCAAGTGCCGCTTAGTCCAGCACCACAGACCCCTTTTCGGCACGTACCTGCATTTCCACCATCGAACTCTCTTTGCCATCGCTGCGACATATCACCGTTGACAACGGCGCCGCGAGCGCCCCGAGCTGTCAATCGCGGGGATGTGGTAGCAAGCATCAATCGTTCCCTCGGTCGGTCAATAGGTCAGATGTTATCAGTTTCGCCGATCCAAAAACAACCCATCACATCGGTGGCGTCTATCTCCATCATTCCGAGGTGCTTCTCGATGGAGATTACTCAGCGCAATGACCTCTTCGACCGTTGCCTGTTTTGACTGTTGGAGGATCGCCCACGATCTCGAGCTCGCCTGTACCCGGTGCGTGCAGATCTGGGCACCCCGGCCTGCGGCACCATCCAGAGTTTTTACCTGTTGGCGGCGCCGGCATGGCCTCCGCGTGATGATGAACTACGGCTGTAAATTAAAACACACAGTCTTCAGGTGCCTCATCTCTCAAAATTCCACCGCCCAGTGTACTTGCCTACTGCCCAATCTGGCGCTCACGTCATCTTGCGACCAGCCTTCCGGACCCTTTTGAGGTTGGATCGGGCAGGGTGACATTAGCAACAACGTCTATTCAAGCACGGTCGACGGATCGGGGATGCAATGTGGGGTGTTCGGAGTATTAGGAGGCTGCAATGAAGATCTATGGACGACGATGGACCGACCCGATCACGTCCTCTATCACGGTCCATGTCACGATCGCAAGACGCTTCATTCAGCCCTGTAGACGTTCAGCCACCGCAGGCTTACTAGCACGGCTATCGCGCGCGGACATCGGAAGGCTGCCAGCGAACACTCGCGGAGTCTCTAAGCAATGGTACATCTCCCATGAACTTTACAGTCTTTCCGGTCCGTCTTCAGGCATCTTCGTAGCCCAAGCCAGCAGCCCCAGCTATCAGACCGCGAAATGACAACCCTGACTTAGCCATCCAGCTCTTTGAGCAAGTCCTCTATCCTCCTTATCTGATTGCGCGGACCTCCATCAACCACCACCCATTCCAATAAACTTTCTTTTGCCATCTTTGCCCAACGTCTGGCATCTCCCATCATTCCATGACCTGCGTACACGTACGCCAGTCTCTCGTAGTCCTGGGCGAGCAGAGTATCCAAACCCTCTCGTTGACTAATCTCCATCACTTCTTTCTCCCAAGCAACAATATGTTGGGCATCGTAGGTCTCCGCCGTCAAGTTCTCCAGCATCTTCCGGAGTTGGGCGAACCTCGCACGGCGCTGGTCACTACCAGCTACATCGTATTGCGAAGCAGTGCAAAGAGAGCAAGTGCACTTGAAGTTCCAGCCTTCCTGATAGAGTGCTTGTCTGTCGGCGTGCTTCAAATCGATTTTGCCATACGAGATACCGATTTCTTCCCCAGCGGCGATGTCCCGTTGAGCTTTGATCTCCATTGACAGTGTCTTCGGAACAAAGCGCGCGTGCGCATTGGGTTGGCACGCGTGATTAATCCGGGCAACGGAAGGGAAGAGACACATGTAGGCGTCGTCTACTTCGCCATCAGCGAGCTGGCATGCGAAAGCATTCGTCTTCATGATGTCTTCAACTTTGCTGCCACCCAGACTCTGATCCAATGCGAGCACCGAGTTTCGATCTGCCTGAGGTAATCGATCAAGTGCGGCACTGAAGAGTGTTTGGCCTTGCGCACGCGTAACTTGCGTAGGAAAATGCGAGCTCGCGATGATACGCGCAGTATCGAGTAATATCGTTTCTCCCTTCTCCAAAGCCTTTGTGGTGATTAGGCCTTTGCCCTTGCCCGGGAAGGCCCGAACTTCGAGACTATCATCCAAGCCCTGGTGTTCCCCGTTCAGAGCTAGGAAGGCCGCAGATATCGCATTTGCAGCTACAGGTCTTGCGATAATGCTCAAAGCATGTCCGCCTCTTGTTTCGGAAGTCGTGTAGGTGCAATATTTCTTCTGCTTCCCTTGAGCACAGGCTGGATCGTGCGACCACGGTAAGTGCTGAAGGGGCGTCTCTTTCGGCAATGGTTCTGAATTGCCGGTGGTGAATGGACAATGTGGTAATTGGAGTGGCAGTTGAGCTTGGACCGCGAATTGATGCGGCGCGTTTGGGCATTGCGGTGACGCATAGGCGTACAACCCAAATGCGCATGTCGCGAACGACAAGATCAGAATCCGCATACAACTCATGATGGTAATGGAATGTCTACGGAACGCATCACGGAAAGCGGTTGAGATGTCTACTTCTCTCCTCGCGTCTGTAACACTTCTGAAACAGGAATCGCTGGGCAGCTGCGTCTTGCGCACAACATATTCTGCGATACCTCAAAGCCCAACATTTCGACTTCATCACGACATACTTCTGTCAAATTTCTCGTCATCTCGTGCCTGAACACTTCGTGGGATGGTGGTGAGCAAGATGAAGCGGACTCATGACTCGACTGCGCCTACCAATCCATTTGAGGACGCGCCAGCAACGCCACCTATCTTGACAGGGCCACGATCAGCACCGTGCCATTCGAAACATCACCACACCACCACATATCGTTCTTTTGATCGTCAGGGCGAACAGCTCAGTGCACGCTATGCGGCTGAAGCCGAGAAGGCCACGATGGGGCCCAGCCTGCTGATTAACTCATCTCCACACCAGCGCATCCTCGTCATACTTTGACGTGGTAGCACACGGCTGTCAGGCTGTTTCATATCGCGGATCGTGCCACAGGTTGCCGGATGCCGTGCCACCAGTTGTCGCACAGTACGAACTCTACGAGATTGATTAAATCACAATAAGAGTACGAGGGCTTTTTGAGGTAGTGACAGGTGACACCCAGACATCGACGAGGATGGGCCTGGTTACTTAAAGGGGCATATTCATGTGTTCGACCTGGTACTGGGATAGACCTTCATCACGGTGAACACGTAGAGGGACTCACTCGCCCTTCTGCCTGAAGGAGAGAAAGTTTAGTGCAAAGTTTGGCAGAAGTCAACCACACGTTGGGCTTCAACTGCCGACCATGCAGGTTCGGAACGGAGTCATCACGACATGATCAGTCAATGGTGCTATCAAACACTGCGTGAGCATGCGTGAGGCCACGAGCAGTAGGTGACACGCAACGTATTTTGGGTAATGAGCAGC